TAGGTTTCACTCTTGGCCGTGTACATTCTATAGGTTTGGAAAAAATGTATAATGATGTATCCATTATTATGGTATCATAGAGTGTATTTTCACTACCCTTAAAATCCTCTGTCTATTCGTTTCTCTCTATCCTCAACAGCTGGCAACTTCTAATCTATTTTCTGGCTCCATAGTTTTGCCTTTTCCATAAAGTCATATAGTTGGAATCATACAGTCTGTAGCCTTTTCAGACTGCCTTCTTTCACTCAGTAATACACATTTAAGGTTCCTCCATGTCTTTTCATGCCTTGATAGCTCATTTCTTTTTAAGGCTGAATAATATTCCATTGCCTAGATGTACCACAGTTTGTTTATCCATTCACCTACTGAAGGACATCTTAGTTGCTTCCAAGTTTTGGCCATCCTAAATAAAGCTGCTATAAACATGTGTGTTCAGGTTTTTGTGTGGACCTTAAGTTTTTTGATTATTTTAATAATTGGTTTCCTAGCATTATATGGCAATGAGCTAGATTGAAAATCCAAAAAAATTAGTAAAAATAACAAAGGTAAATGAATGATTTGAGGATGAGCTTAGAGTCCAAACCGTGTGATACAGTGGCAAGAACACTGAAGAACTGAAATTCTTCATTATGGCACTACTTGACAGAACTATTTTCCCTTTCGACCTGTGAATAGGCTTTATCCCTTAGTGGCACAGAGTCAGAATAGTTATCCAAAATCCTTTTATTTGTTTTTTTTGCCATTATTTTTTCATGCTTTCTTATTTCCTCAGGTGTTCTCATTTAGTTAGAAGTTGGAGGAAGGATGCTTCCTGTTTGATTGGCTGCTGGAGACCAGCTGGGACAATAGAGAAATTCTCTAGACCATTAGAATAGATTTTATCGTCAAGAGAAGGAGGACAGGACTTCCCTGGTGGCGCAGTGGTTGAGAATCTGCCTGCTAATGCAAGGGACATGGGTTCGAGCCCTGGTCTGGGAGGACCCCACATGCCGCGGAGCAACTAGGCCCGTGAACCACAACTACTGAGCTTGCGCGTCTGGAGCCTGTGCTCTGCAACAAGAGATGCCACGATAGTGAGAGGCCCGCGCACCGCGATGAAGAGTGGCCCCCGCTTGCCACAACTAGAGAAACCCCTCTCTCAGAAACGAAGACCCAACATAGCAAAAAAATAAATTAATTAATAAACTCCTACCCCCAAAATCTTCTTTAAAAAAAAAAAAAGAAGGACAAAGTAGCTAATTAGGGAAACAGGAAACCTCAAACAACGTGTTCTTTTGAGTTTTTACTGTAAGAGCCAGGAAATTTCATATGGCTCAGTGGCATAAAGGTTAGGCATTAGGACAAATAGCCATGGAGGGGGGAACCTGGACAGGTAAGGTTACTCCTCCCGATAAGAGAGATAAAGACCATCTTCCCCTGGGATCTGGTGGTAGTTCTTGAAGCCTTCACTTCAGGCTGGGACAGGAAGAACAGCCTGCTGCTGTGAAATGATAAACCATTGAGGTTTGAAGGTGTGACTAGGAGCTGTGTGCTAAGCCTCTAGCTGACGAAGTTAATATCAGCAGGAAGGGACGGGTAAAAGGTGTGGTTTCCTAAATGAAGAATGCCTTTAAGCAGCTAGGAAGTAAGTGAATGCTTTATGTATTCATGTTGTGTATGTGTTATCTGTGTTTTGCACAAAAGTGAATTCGGAAGACAATGTACAGGAACATTCAAAACATCTTCAGACTATTCATCTTTCTGTTTTCTTAAGGAGTGGGTGTGATAGATGAAGTTTAGTGCTTTCATTTTGTGCTTCTTTGACCAAATGGCAATGCTATAGGAGTTTCAGTTAGTCCTGTCTGAAGTTACTGCTGTTAGAAGCTAACTGATGCTGGTTTGAGTTCTTATTTAAGAAGGGATTTGCCTTTCCCAGAAATCAGAGCTTCGTAATAAAAAGAAACTGGAGCTTAGAGGGAGCAGCTACACAGTTTGGCTTTCCCATTATTAATCTCATGATGTCTCTCTACGAAACTATGAAAAATCTAGATTTTGTAGTCAGTTCTTACCTTTAACCACCTTGTTCATCAAGGGCACATGTAGGCCTCATATCTCTTCTATGTGCTACAGTTAGAATAATGAATGGGACCGATGTTCTCATGGTATGGAGTTTATACAGAGGAAACAGACGACTATGTAAGTGTGAAAATATGTTCTGCCCCTGTCTCAGCCTCCATCATGAGAGCTATCAACCCTCTTACCTCTTACCACCCTCTTACCTCTTTCTCTTACAAAAGAGAAAAAAAGCTCAACATGACCAATATCTCCATGGGGCGGTAAGACATAAAATAACCAGATCTGAGGTCGTGGAATGCCTTTTTCTATAGAGGCAGTGGGATGCTGCCATGTCTCCCAGCTCCTACATTGTGTTAATATGCACCGCCTTCACCCCCCGGTCCCCCCGCCCAGCCCCGCTTCCTTCTAAGCATCTGCACTCCTGGCTCAGTGTGTCAGCACTTCTGTATTGCAGTCCTGGCTCTTTCACTATTTATAGACCCCTCGAAGAAAGAGAAAAAAATGAATATTTACTTATTTTTGAAGTCTAAGAAATCCTAGCTGTCGTGCTAATCTAATTGAATTCTTCCAGATACATAAAGTGAGTGACATTCTTATTGAACGTGTGAAGAAACAGGCTTGAAGATTTGGAGTGACGAGTTCAAATTTTTACAGCTAGAAAGGATTTGAATCTTGGACTTCAAATAATAGTATTTAACGTTTAATGAACGTTAGCATTAGGTCTGGTTAGCGCTTTATATACCCTACAATCTTGGGAAGCAAAAGCACTATTTTACTTTCGTCGAATCTGAGGTTTAAAAAAGTGAAGTGACTTGCCTCAAGTCACACATAGAAGTGAGGGCTGGTATTTCAAGCCAGATCTGCCCGGTTCCAGAATTCATGCTTGGTGGCAAGAGATTAGTTGAAAATCCAGGCTCTTCTGAATCCAACGCCCATCTGTGCTCTATGTATTCAATCTGGCCTGATTTTAAACATGGGTCAAGAATTAGCAATAATGTGTTCTTTGGTAAGTCAATTACCTTCTTAACATTAGTTTCTTCATTTGTAAGAGGGGGATGATAGTAAGTAGCTGTCAGCGCTGGGAGGTTTCAATATGGTTATACACACAGCAGTCCTCCAGCAAATGATGGCATCTCTCTCTGCCACCTTTTGACAACCATTACTATTTCTCCCACCCCTACTCCCTACGTTCTCTCAGCAGACTTCGTTCGTTCATTTCTGGCATTGGGATTGAGGGCTCGGGATCTTTCTGTTTTGAGATTGACAAAGTCAATCCAGGATGAGGGTAAAGAGAGAAGAAAATGCACAGCAGTGTTCCTGAAGTGTCCAGATTCCACTCATGAAACTTTGTGTGATTGAATTAAATTAGTCTCTGGGAGGTAATTCAGCTGACTGCCTGCCCATGATGACAAGTGGCAGACTCAATGGTGATTCTGAGATTAAGAATTGCATCGGAGGATAGGAGTGGGTCAGCTGACAGCCAGACAACAGGCAGCATAACCTAGTGGTGGTGGGGTCCTAGTGGTCAGAACATTCCGTAGACTGTGTTTGTAAAGTAGTTGGAAGAAACGTGGTAGGTGAAGAATGGGGATGCCTTCTAAAGGGTGATAGTTAGTTGTGGCTGGAGGTTGGTAAGGGAAGAAAAGAATAAGCAAGGAATGTGGTTAGAACCTGGTGAAATAGGGCTGGGTTTGTCTCTGCATAATCAATTTCACCTTATGTTTCCCACCTCACTCCTCTTCCCCCATAGGGTCTGGCTCATAGAAACAGACTTATAGAAATGAATTTCTTTTCACTGGAAGATTATAGGTCTTCACGTGAGGTAAGATTCGTGGATGAAACTCAAGTAGAAGAATAATTCACCAGTATTTCTTAAAAATATCAAATGTGAACACTTTCACACTAGTGTTGTATAAATGGGAACAACTTTTCTGGAGGGCATTTGGTAATATGTATCAAAGTTCTTTAATGTATATATCCCTTGGCCCCAGAATTTCTTGTTTAAAATTTTTTTCCTAAGGAAATATTTGAAAGTACAGGACAATTTTTTTTAATATTCACACAAAAAATGGAAACAACCTAAATGTCCAGCAGTATGGGATTGCCTAAATACATTATGGTATAATCTATATGGATAAAAACTATACATTGTTTTTATTTCTTATTTTTTGCGATACGCGGGCCTCTCACTGTTGTGGCCACTCTCGTTGAGGAGCACAGGCTCCGGACACGCAGGCTCAATGGCCATGGCTCATGGGCCCAGCCGCTCCGCAGCATGTGGGATCTTCCCGGACCGGGGCACGAACCCGTGTCCCCAGCATCGGCAGGCGGACTGTCAACCACTTCACTACCAAGGAAGCCCCCTTGTAAGAACTTTTTACTACTGATATGTAGTCCTGAATACACACGTATATGTGTATGTGTGTGTGTGTGTATATATATATATATATATATATATATATATGTTTTAAGCCAAGATATTTATATTTTTTCAGAATCCCAAAAAGTAGAATTTTTGTTTTTTGAATTAATAGTTTTAAAAGTGTCTCAGTAATTTGGGATGGTATCACTTTGTCTAACATGTGTATATATATATACGTCGAACATTTTGAGCTGAACTGAATAGGACCCAGCCTATCTAATCTATTGGTAAATTTTAAAAAATTCTTTCCTTATTTTCTAATAATCATGGCTGTAGTTACTAGAAGTACAAATGACTTTAGCAAAAATACTGAAAGGTTTTCATTTCTTATATAAATCAGTCTCAGTCTACATGCTTTAGGCACTTGAAGGAGTTAATAAACACACGTCCACAGACACACACACGTACATCTTAATCCTGGTGTGTTGCTATAGACTAACCTTTTAATTTTTCTTTGGATAAAAATAATTCTATTACAAAGTTTTAATGCAAAACACATACCTCACCTCTTTTTACTTTAGAGATGAGTGATCAAGAAGGGACTTATTCCATCCTGAGATTTCTTCAGTCACCTTCGGAGTCACAAAATAGATCAAGGCCTGGTAGTACCCAAAGCCCTGGCAAGACTGACGGAAAAGGTAGATGTTTGAAGCAACTAGATTCACCCATCTCTTATGAATTGTCAAACTTCTGACATTAGAAATAAAAAGTTCCTATCTATATTCTAGGTTCTCAGTAATATGAAACCATAATGGTCTTTAATATCTTTTTTGTTTTTAATTTTGTGAGAATGGAGAAATTAATTCTTTTAAATTTGAGAAGGTAATAGAATTTTTTTTTAAATAAATTTATTTATTTTTGGCTATGTTGGGTCTTCGTTGCTGTGCGCAGGCTTTCTCTAGTTGCAGTGAGCGGGGGCTACTCTTCGTTGCAGTGCGAGGGCTTCTCATTGTGGTGGCTTCTCTTGTTGCGGAGCACGGGCTCTAGGCACGTGAGCTTCAGTAGTTGTGGCTTGCAGGCTTCAGTAGTTGTGCCTCGCAGGCTCTAGAGTGCAGGTTCAGTAGTTGTGGCACACGGGCTTAGTTGCTCCACAGCATGTGGGATCTTCCCGGACCAGGGCTCGAACCCGTGTTCCCTGCATTGGCAGGCGGATTCTTTTTTTTTTTTTTTTTTTTTGCGGTACGTGGGCCTCTCACTGTTGTGGCCTCTCCCGTTGCGGAGCACAGGCTCTGGACGCGCAGGCTCAGCGGCCATGGCTCACGGGCCCAGCCGCTCCGCGGCATGTGGAATCTTCCCGGACCGGGGCATGAACCCGTGTCCCCTGCATCGGCAGGTGGACTCTCAACCACTGCGCCACCAGGGAAGTCCCAATAGAATGTTTTCATTCAAATTTGGTCAAGAGAAATTCATGAGGACTTTTTTTTTTTTTTTTGGCCATACCGAAAGGCTTGCTGGATCTTAGTTCCCCGACCAGGGATGGAACCTAGGCCCCCAGCAGTGGAAACGGGGAGTCCTAACCACTGGACTGCCAGGGAATTCCCTCATGAGGATTTTAAAAGTAAAGGACAGACTAGAGTCTCAAGAAAACATTGCAGGGGCTTCCCGGATGGCGCAGTGGTTGAGAATCCGCCTGCCAATGCAGGGGACACAGGTTCAAGCCCTGGTCCAGGAGGATCCCACATTCCGCGGAGCAACTGGGCGTATGCGCCACAGCTGCTGAGCCTACGCTCTGGAGCCTGTGAGCCACAACTCCTGAAGCCTGGGCGCTTGGAGCCCGTGCTCTGCAAAGAGAGAGGCCACCGCAGTGAGAAGCCCGCGCACCGCAAGGAGGAATGGTTCCCGCTTGCTGCAACTGGGGAGAGCCCGCGCAATGTTAATTCTTAAGGGAGGAGACATTTGGCTCAGGTCACAGATCTTTTTCAACTTACCCGTGAATCCCAAGACTCCTGTTGTTAAAAGGAGAAAGAAACAGAAGATTCCAAGAATCACTAGAGTGGGAAAGCAGGCAAATGGAACTGAAGACCCTGCCCGGAGAGAAAACAAAGAGGCTGAGGAGACCAGCAGGGGAAAGACTGAGTTACAGGGCTTAGAGGGGGACGTTCCGTAAATTCAAGACCCTAACTCTTGAATGTCTTCAAACTTGAAATCATAAATTGAAAGGGATACTGGACAATTTGAAACATCAACGGACTGAGAGTTAGATGCCAGGGTTCTACTCCCTATTCTGCCACTATATACCTCTGAGGGAAGTCACTTATTCTATCTTTACCAAAATAATCCTCTGATTCATCTCCATGATTTATGAATACAAAGTGAATACTAGATATGAGGACTTGGTTTTTGAGATGCAAACATACTTCTAAATAAAACATATCTGGGGCTTCCCTGGTGGCGCAGTGGTTGAGAATCTGGCTGCCGATGCAGCGGACACGGGTTCGAGTCCTGATCTGGGAAGATCCCACATGCCGCGGAGCAACTGGGCCCATGAGCCACAACTACTGAGCCTGCGCGTCTGGAGCCTGTGCTGCGCAACAAGAGAGGCCGCGATAGTGAGAGGCCCGCGCACCGCGATGAAGAGTGGCCCCCGCTCACCGCAACTAGGGAAAGCCCTCGCACAGAAACTAAGACCCAACACAGCCATGAATAAATAAATAAATAAGTAAAACATATCTGTATAGTCAATTTTATTGACCCATAATCAGAAGATATTTATTATCCTGTAAATATCATATGCTTGCATATATATCCATCATTTTCTCATTGGAGCCTCACTACAGTTCTTCAACAGTAGAAGAAATTATAATTCCAAACATGTATCAAATAATGTTAATCAAATATTGTTTCTTGAAACTTCATAAAATGAGTGGATATAGACATCAGGAGATTCACAATTGTTTCCAAATTGAAAAGCAGTAATTTTCCTGCTTGATTTGCTCAGTTATGAATTTATGTATATAGCACCCAAACTACATTAATTATCTGGAATATACTAAATATGGACATTTCACTTTCAATACCATTTTTTTTGTTTAGATTATAAGATATAGTTTAAGCAACCTCATGAAACTGGGCAGGCTAACTTAGTTATTTGAGGCCGTGGTAAGCTGAGCAATTGGAGGACAGGTAAGCTAGGTCCTCTACATAAAGTTTACCTTTTCCTTCAGGTGATTCAGTTCTTGTTATCTTTGTCCGATTGGACTTTGTAGCGCATATTTTCGCTTCTGCGTAAATTAGCTGCTCTTTTGTCTCTGGAGATTAAAAGAGAGACGTGGTTACCACGCCATAGTCACACTGTTTCTTGGAAAGCATGTAAGTTATCAGTATGTGTGAAGGGAGTTGACAGAATAGGATTTTTTCCAAATCGAGGAGATCTATATACTTGTTTTCTTCTTACCATGTGAAGTCCATCAGGTAAATCTTTTAAGTAACAAAATCTTGAAAAAGAGTTAGACATAATGTGCCATATGCTAAATTATAATGACATTCTTTAGAAAAATTATTTAACAAGGAAAAGAAAATAATAGAGTTCAGTAGGGACTGGAAGAAAAAAATACTCACTTTCTGCATCTGCTTCTTGAAAGGGATGTGTTTCAACTCTGCATATCCTGGGTGTTTTTCATTCATCTCTAAACATTTTTGAGATACAATTCTAAGATGCTGACATCAACAGGTTTTTTTGAAACTAAGTTTTCAGGTTCTGTCTTTCTGAGTTCTCTGTGTATTATTGAAATCACTATTTCATACCATTTAAATACTGATGCATGATTTTACTTCTGCAATTTTCTTCCAAGAAAGATTTTTGCCTCAGATTATTTTCTTTCCCATTCCTAAAATTATCAGTTACCAGCATCTCTTTAGATGTCATTTCACCTGTTACCTGGAGTTCTCCAAATGTGGTATTTAACTTTAAAAGGGTAACAGTGCTATGATCTATGAAATGTTTATACTACACTTAAAAACTGTCCCTATCCGGGCTTCCCTGGTGGCGCAGTGGTTGAGAGTCCGCCTGCCGATGCAGGGGACGTGGGTTCGTGCCCCGGTCTGGGAAGATCCCACATGCCGCGGAGCGGCTAGGCCCGTGAGCCATGGCCGCTAAGCCTGTGCCTCCAGAGCCTGTGCTCCACAACGGGAGAGGCCACAACGGTGAGAGGCCTGCGTACCGCAAAAAAAAAAAAAAAAAAAAAAAAACTGTCCCTATCCAGAAAAATAAAAAGATAATTTTTATGAGTCATTTTGTGTTGTAAAGATAACTAGTGTTACATAGTAGGTTATTCTAAAATTTCTCTTTCAGGAGTTCTCCTGACTTTTTTTTCTATTTATCTTCACTCTTTTTTTATGATTAAAGATAATTTACTTTCCGTGATCTCCTGAAGAATCTCTTCCAACAAGTTGTTAAAAATGAAAGCCCTACAATTGGGATGTAAATTAGTTTAGTTGTACTCTTGTGGGGTGTGTAGCATTGTGCCCATAATATTTGAAGGCATAGGCTAAAAGCAACCAATTCTCCTTGAAATATTAACTTTACTTGCAAATTTTTTGAAAAGTTAATTAATTTATTTCAAGTATTTCAAATATCATTTTTATAATCAAAGCAATTTATATAGAATAGAATTCTGATAACATAAAAAGTTTTAAAATTCTTATGTTCACTAGTTTGCCAGCGTATCATCAAATAAAACACTTTTTATGTATTTTATTTCCTCAGAGAATTATGCCCTGTTGTTGTCTTTTATACTGATTAAAATATATAGGCCTTCGTGTGTTCATAATATTCACTTATAACATTTAATAGTTTCCCACAAGATAACTTCTCATAAGAAAACATGATTGTGCAGAAATAGATTTATAATGCCTTTAAAAATCCTTTACCAAGTTTGTAATATCTCATGAATATGGAAGCTATATCACATAAATAAGAAAATTCTAGATTTGGATGTGAAATAGAGAAACACACTATTATACAGACAAGAACAATTAATTACTGATTAAATAATTATTTTATTATTCATATCCTGGCTTCATCGATGTGACCATTTACTTTATTAACTCAGTTAATCTGAGAGATATCCTGAAATATTTTCTAACAGTGCTATCAGTTATATTCAATGGTAAACCATGAAAAAATCTGAGGTAATTTACCTTGTAAAGTGAATTTTAAACCTGAATGGGTTAGTTCTTTTTCTACAAGATTAAATTTACTGGATTACTTTTTAAAATCTCTATTCTTTGTGCTCCGTATACGCACTAGTAACGATGAGATAAGCTGAGAGCGACAGCTATAGATATAGTTGGTGATACCTGTGTCAGTGTGGTAGTTTCTGCTGGAATCTGGTCCCAATGGAAGAGGTGAACCCCAGTGGGCGAATGGCACAGTTGTGTGAGCTGTGGCTCAAGACGACTCTTCTGGGCTCTATATGTTATTGGCTCTTGTTATCAAAGAAGCTTCAGTATTTGCCAGCTCTTCATGAACATGTGAGAAAGCAGTTCATATTTGTACTTCAGGCTTCACAATTTGCATCTTCTACGGAGAAAGGCAGTTTTTAAGCAAGGGAGATGAATGGGCAATATAATTTAAAGGGCCATGCCCATTTTGCACAGAATTCAACACTGAACTTAAAAGAGAAAAAAGCACCAAAAAGGCCACCATCACCACTATGACCACCACCAAATACTGTGATTCTAAATATAATCCCTATATAGATTAGACACTAGTTTGGGCTCTAAATAGAAACTGTATGTAATGGGATATTTAAATCCATCTTCTAAACTATGCTAGTGTTAGCTAAGTGGAAATATTAATACATGAGTACTAATAGTTCATTATTCTCCCCAGTTATCTGAAGGAGATTTTGAAAAATAAAGTTTTCAGATGTTAAGTTTTATTAGATGAAGAGCTAGTCAATCCCTGGTTCCTTTAAAATATATCTAAATTCAATTGCTTTATTCTTTGAAACATTTTTTTCAGAACATATACGTTTTACAGTCTGTTTTTTTCAATTCATTCCAATACAAGTATACTCTATATTCTCTAAATATACTCTCTCTATATAAACTTCAGGTTTTGAGGTTTTTGGTTCCCTTCTCCTTCAGTCTGTACTCTAATTATAAAGAGTAGAAATATATTGGCTTCCCCCTTAGTGGTCTAAAGTGGCATTTCCAATGGTGTAATGGATAAACGGTGACAGTGCAGTTGGAATATATATGTTTCAACTCAGTAGAAAAGGATTGATAGCTTTATCTGTTTTCAACATTCAATAATGGTAAAAAACACAATAAAGAAATGTATTTCAATTGTGGATTTCATTCCTTCAAAAAAACCCATTTTAGACTGGTACATTTGCAAGAGTTTTACATTGAGTTCTAGTATGGAGAAATGATGACAAAAGAAAAACCTATTTTGATGTAAAAACAAGTTGTTACGGAAATTTTCAAACAGAATGAGTGTAATAAAAAAATAACCCTATGTAGCCTGAGAAAGAGAAATATTATTTATGTTCTGGCTATATGTTCTTTCTGGCTTTGTTATCGTCCCTTCTTATTCTTGTCTTGCTCTCTCGAACTGCTAGAGACTTCATCTGAAACAACCATCTGGTAAGCTCAACACTCAACACCACTGTAATTGGAATATTAGAACTTGAAAACATTTGCTTAGGCCTTAACTTCTCACATTTGGAAGTCCATCAAACATTTCCATTTCTTCCTAATCACTAACTTTCTGCACTTAAACAAAAAGTCAGTTCTCTGATCTACTTCTTTATCATTTTTCTTTACAATATTATACCTCTTTACAGCAATTTTTCTTTTTTAACCAATGATATAATGTAATAATTATTTTCATCATGAAACATATATGCCCCATTATTTCTAAATAGTTCACTAATTCTTTAATCTTTCATATTCAAAACAGCTCTCTTAGTCTTTAGTACGATTATGCTTCACCTTACAAATTACCTTCTTGCTTGTAGGTGTTTCCCTTTCATCACTTTAAATATGTCCTGCCAGTCCCTTCTGGCTTGCAGAGTTTCTGCCGAAAGATCAGCTGTTAACCTTATGGGTATTCCCTTGTATGTTGTTTGTTGTTTTTCCCTTGCTACTTTTAATATTTTTTTCTTGGTATTTAATTTTTGATAGTTTGATTAATATGTGTCTTGAGTGTTTTTCCTTGGATTTATCCTGTACGGGACTCTCTGTGCTTCCTGGACTTGATTGACTATTTTCTTTCCCATATTAGGGAAGTTTTCAAATATAATCTTTTCAAATATTTTCTAAGTCCCTTTCTTTTTCTCTTCTTCTTCTGGGACCCCTATAATTCAAATGTTGGTGTGTTTAATGTTGTCTCAGAGGTCTCTGAGACTGTCCTCAATTCTTTTCATTCTTTTTTGTGTATTCTGCTCTTTAGTAGTTATTTCCACTATTTTATCTTCCAGATCACTTATCCATTCTTCTGCCTCAGTTATTCTGCTATTGATTCCTTCTAGAGAATTTTTAATTTCATTTATTGTGTCTTTCATCATTGTTTCTTTGCTCTTTATTTCTTCTAGGTTCTTGTTAAACGTTTCTTGTATTTTCTCCATTCTATTTCCAAGATTTTGGATCATCTTTGCTAGCATTACTCTGAATTCTTTTTCAGGTAGACTGCCTATTTCCTCTTCATTTGTTTAGTCTGGTGGGCTTTTACCTTGCCCCTTCATCTGCTGTGTGTTTCTCTGTCTTCTCATTTTGCTTAACTTACTGAGTTTGGAGTCTCCTTTTTGCAGGCTGCAGGTTCGTAGTTCCCGTTGCTTTTGGTGTCTGCCCCCAGTGGCTAAGGTTGGTTCAGTGGGTTGTGCAGGCTTCCTGGTGGAGGGGACTAGTGCCTGTGGTCTGGTGGATGAGGCTGGATCTTGTCTTTCTGGTGGGCAGGACTGCATCCGGTGGTGTGTTTTGGGGTGTCTGTGACCTTACTATGATTTTAGGCCTCCTCTCTGCTAATGGGTGGCGTTGTGTTCCTGTCTTGTTAGTTGTTTGGCACAGGGTGCCCAGCACTGTAGCTTGCTGGTTGTTGAGTGGAGTTGGGTGTTAGTGTTGAGATGGAGATCTCTGGAAGAGCTCTTGCTGATTGATACTATGTGGAGCTGGGAGGTCTCTGGTGGACCAATGTCCTGAACTCGCCTCTCCCACCTCAGGCCTGACACCCGGCCGGAGCACCAAGACCCTGTCAGCCACACGGCTTTTGGGAAGTCTGAGGTTTTCTGCCAGCATTCAGTAGGTGTTCTGTAGGAGTTGTTCCACATGTAGATGTATTTCTGATGTATTTGTGGGGAGGAAGTTGATCTCCACCTCTTACTCCTCCGCCATCTTGAAGGTGACACCAGATTTTTCAATTTAGAGTCAGAAAGTAAACAAAATAAAAATGAATTACAATATAGGCGGACAATCGTTGTAGAATATTTTTTATCAAATCTCTTCTATCTCTACCCTTGGTTTACTGAGATCTTTTTTTTTTTTGTGGTATGCAGGCCTCTCACTGTTGTGGCCTCTTCCGTTGTGGAGCACAGGCTCCGGACACACAGGCTCAGCGGCCATGGCTCACGGGCCCAGCCACTCTGCAGCATGTGGGATCTTCCTGGACCGGGGCACGAAGCCGTGTCCCCTGCATCGGCAGGCGGACTCTCAACCACTGCGTGACCAGGGAAGCCCCTACTGAGATCTTTGAATGAACAGGAATGTTATAATATTCTTCTTGGTCAACCAACCTTGTATTTCATACATTAAAAGATAAAATGTGATATATTTTTAGGATTATCTGTAAGACCTTTTGATCTGAACTGGACATAGGACCGTGGGAAACTTATGACCACTGCCTGTATCTGAGGCATCTTGTGTGGTTTCGCCTGACTCACACATACATTAGTTTCTATGAGGTTATAGCCCTGATGAGAGTCTTAGGTCTATTTTTGTTTGTGTACAATATCTATTTATTCCCACTACAAATATTGAACTTTTTTCGCTTGAGCAGTAAAGAGCAAAAGGTAGATTGTCGGTGGCTACCCAACCATACTTATATGAATAGAATTTGTTTTTCCTCTGAAACAAAGTCAGGGTGGAGGTAGTACCAAAAAACCTTAAGCCAAACTGTCACTATCTGGACATATAGGTTTTATGATGTGATTTCTCTCTTCAAATGCCTTTTTATATAAGCAGTCATTTAAATCCACCTTTGATGAACAGATATGTTATTTACAGCATTATTCCTTTTAAAAATTCCTCTGGTTGTCTAGAACCTTAGTTTCCATATACCTGTGTCTCCTTTACTGCATACTCAGTTCTCATAAAAATTTTCACTCTAGACTACTCAATTATATTATTTATGACAGTGGCTTTTCCTAATTTATTTCTGGAGTGATGGACTATTACCTGTACAAACCAGATGGTATTTAAAGGCTTGTTGTACATAGTTTAGTTAAGTAGACGTGATTTTATTTTTGTATACCTATTAGAAAATATCCAGTTAGAGATTCATATTTCCTCTGTGGTTTTTACCAAATTGAGTTAGTTTCATACAACTGTAAGTAGCTGTACCACCTGAGAGGTCTGGACTTGTCATCAACTGTAGGAGGATAGTGGAAGAAATATCTCTTCATTCATCCGCCAACAACTTTGTAAGCTCTCCTTCACCTTTGGGATAAAGAAATCATCCAAAAGTCTCCACAATGTCAACTGCTTCAGACTGTGATCAACCTCCAGGTATTTTTTTAAAATCTAAATGTCCTGTGCCATTTCAATGGAAATAAAAGTTTTGTTGTTTTTGTTTGTCATAAGTGCTGGTTATGATTATACTAGGGGCATTGTATTTTTAATATTTCCCACATATACCTGAAAGAGTGCCTTTAAATATATTTAAAAGAAATAATTATCTATTTCCTGACTTGATCCAAAGTGTAATCAACCAGTTTAAATACTTTTAGGAAAGCTGGATGGGCTGTCCAGTGGAAATGTGTTTTGAGTATCTTTGATTTTACTACTACTACATTTGTATTTCCAGTGATCTTTGAAAATGGTAATGAATCTCTTAAGTTCTAATCTCACTTGCTTTACAAGGTTATAAAGTAATTATATATTTTCTATGCTAAAAGAAAACACAGAGCAGACAGAGACAATCCCTATTGTGGATGTGGAAGAGCCTCTTGCCCTTCCTCCTCCTCCTCCTCCACCTGAGGATGAATGGCGCCCGGTTCCTGAGCACACCAATGTGGATGGTAAAGTCGATATACCAGATTTTATTCATTTACGGTCTCTTTTTGTTATCTTTAGATACGTCTTCCATTTTATGTTTCTCTACTTGTTACTATTCGGAAATTTTAAAATTTAGAGAAAATACAAAGATTAAAACATTTTCAAAACATATATAGAGGGCTTCCCTGGTGGCGCAGTGGTTGAGAGTCCGCCTGCCGATTCAGGGGACGCGGGTTCGTGCCCCGGTCCGGGAGGATCCCACGTGCCGCGGAGCGGCTGGGCCCGTGAGCCATGGCAGCTGAGCCTGCGCGTCTGGAGCCTGTGCTCCGCAACGGGAGAGACCGCAACAGTGAGAGGCCCGCGTACCGCAAACAACAAGAACAACAAAAAACATATATAGAAGTAAAACGAAAGTGTATTTTCTGACAGGTTTGAAATTTTCATATATTAAAGAGCATAGTTAAAGATGAAAGAAGCCATTGGTCCAAATTTAGATTTGTTTTCTCACATGAAACTGAGGGACTTAAGCTTGTTCAAGGTTTAAAACTCAGAAAATTTGTAAAAAAGACAAAGAAAGGTAGAACCCTATTACATGATGCCTCCTTTTGATCATAATTAAACTTAACATGTTTTAATAGAACAGGGTTTTCCAAGCTCGGCACTAATGACATTTTGGGCTAGGTAACTCTTTGCTGTGGGACACTGTTTAGTGATTGTAGGATGTTTAGCACCATTCTTGGCATCCATGCACTAGACGTCAGTACCACCCGCCTGTCAGTTATGACGCCAAGAATTTCTCCAGATATTTATTAATGTCCCCTGGGGAACAAACTTTCCTCTGGTTGATAACCACCAAGTTATATGATTCAGAAAGTTAAAGAAATGATTTGGGTATTAGTCATGAATATAACCATTCTCTTGACAGCAATTTTTTAACCTTGTTTCAGAAATACAATTCTTCCAAAATATAAAGAAATATCTTTTTTACACTGGAGTTTATACATTTATTTTGGAGGGAAATAAACTTACCAATAAAAGACTATTAACAATGATCTCTGAAAGTTTAGTTTCTAGAATGTGGGGATGTAGCATATTATTTTTGTGAAATTGAATACATTATAGATGTTGTTTGACCTAAAACCAAATATCATCCCTTTAAAACATTCACTAAGATTTACTGTAATTCTTTATGAAAGGAACATACTACTACATCAAGTTCAAATAAAGAGTTCTATCTTAATAATAACACAGATTTAAAATTGTTAAGCATTTCTCCATCTGATCATATTAATGAGGATAATGTAATCTGAACTGAAATTTTGTGTCTGGTTTAAGGATATTTAATAATGCCTGTATGTAAAATTTTCACCTGTGCTGGAAGTCCCCAAAGACACACTCAGGTTTAATGTCTCACTAGGAGAACTCGCAGGACTCTATACAGTTGTACTCCTAGCTGAGATTTACGACAATGAATGGCTAACAAGCATCATCAGCAAATGGAAAAGGCACATGGAGTGAAGTGTTGGGGAGACCAAGCTCAGGCTTGCAAGGGTGCTCTCCCAGTAGAGTCACACAGGTCCCACGAATTCCCCAGCAACAAGTTGGGACTATGTGTCACATGTTGCCAACCAGGGAAACTCATTAGAGAATCAATGTTCAGGGTATTTACTGGGGGTTAATCACACAGGCAGCTTCCAGCTGGCATGTAACAAAATTACAGACTTCCTGAAGGAAAGCAACGGTTCAGCACAAGCTATATTGTTTGCACAAACAGTGGAGACATGGTAAGCCGTGCCTATCAATTAATGGTTGTGGAAACCCTACTGAAATGTAGCTTTCCAGATGCCAGCCAAGGCCAGCCTTGTAAGCGGGCCTTTCAGGATAACAAGTCAGGTCTGCTACTTTAATTCTTTTCTGCACATCCTCCAAAATAGTTTTTTCCCCCTGTCATTCAGCCTAATAGTTCATAGTAATTCACACATTGGGCATTATTTTTCAGAAAATGTGGGCATTTTAACAATAATAAAAGGAAAATAATGATATTAGTCTTTCAAATAGCAGGAGTTTACATTACCTCTGATTTCCCTCACTCTGTTTCTTAGCCTCTCGTTTTTCCTTCTCTCTATGTGGAATAACCCCTGTGATCCTGGGAGTGTTCAGCCTGCTGCTCTTGATGTTGTGTGGATTCTTTGGTTATCACTGTAAGTCTGACCTATTGGGAGAAAAGAAATAATAGACTATTTGTCAGATGATCATATTTCATTAAACCATTCCCAGAGAATAGTTTTTGGTAAATGTTTTATTGCCATACTGAATGGAGAACAGGAAAAAATGACATGAAAAGTATCACAACTTTTTACTATATGAATGAATTTAACCTTGTGAGTTCTCAGTAACCACGTTTTTTTTTTTTCCAGGGAAGCTATATTGTTGAAATTACTGCAGAATTTACTGAGTGTAATGATTATTATCAGTATTTTGAAAGTTAGAAGTTACTATATATTAAGCTCGATGAATTTGTAACTGTCTTTATGTTGAAAATAAAAAGGAATTTTTCAGTTTGTTCAAACTGCCCATTCCTGCAGCATCCTAAATTAGACCAACAGAATGTTTGGATTATTATTAAAATTGTTCACAACTGGTTATTTTAAAATAGTAGTTTCTCCATTGTAAAGCAATTATACTCCAATAAAGATGTAAAAAATAAAAGCTAGAAAGAATTTACAGATATTTTCAGTAAATATTTCTGGTCTGTAAGTGTTTGCAGCCAAGGTTATTTAAAGATAATAAAGACTTATGAATATGGAAAAAAATAGTAGTTTCTCATTGATAAAGTTAGCTTGAAATTCAGAATTCTAAAATTTGATTAGGAAGTGAAATTCTACACATTACATCAAGGCATGATGCCAAAAGATTCATTTGAGACTTGGTTCTTGCTGTTGTCATCTATTTTAATTCAGTTGAACCACTGTCCTGTTCATATAAACACACACTTAATCTTATAAGGAATTAGGATGATATTTTAGATTTAGGCATAGACGTTAGAAATAATAGTGGATAAATGAAAACATACTTAGCCAAATATCTTTTTGCAGTTTTTGAAAACATTTATGGGGAACTTTATTAAAGATCTACTATAGAAATTAAGCTTCACAATCTAATACCCTACTGTTTCATAACTGAGCATGTGTTTTATACTCATCTGGAATGCTTGTTCCAGACTTTCAAAGTGTTCAGGAATCAGAGAGCAAGATGAAGAGCCTTATCCAACAGACTGAGTCTTTGCAAAACAAAGAGGAAAACTTTCTTCAGGTCCTAAAAGCTCTTGAGCAAAATAAAGGTAATGTTAGATCTAGAACAAACCATCTTTAGATAGTTTAGAATGCTAGATTGTTTTTCTTGTTGCAGCCATAAAATGGTTGGTTGCATAATGCAATGGGAGCTAATAGAGCGGCATGGTGGTTTTGATGGCTTCTTGCCTCTTAGTTCTTCATGGATATTCTGAAACTGAGTGTCTCACATTTACCAAATATAGCCTCTTGTATTAATTAATTAATTCGTTCATTCAGTTAATCATTCACATTTATTCAGTGCACACCAGATGCCAGCCACGTGGCTGGTGATCAAGGATAAATACAATATGAACCCTGCCCTTGGGAGGCTTAGAGAAAATATATAGACCAAAAATAAACCAAAGTTTCAAGGTGTGCAGTAGATGTGCAAGATGTTGAGGGAGCATGAAAATGGAAGAACTCAAATATCTGAAAAGCAGTGGTGTTTTCATAGTTTCTGAGTGCCTCCTAAGGAGAGGCACTTACAATAATAGAGTAATCATAAAGCTGCTTTTATGCTAATTAAATTATAATATAAAAATAGTCTATGTTGTGATAAATAAATATTTTACAAAGGTCTTGCATTAAAATGGTAGGGGTTTTTTTCCCTTGAGGTATTGAACCTATAGTGAAAAATTAAATGAACCATCTGAAAGTCCATTAGTGATTCGTCATGTTAAAAAACTGTTTTTTTTTTTTTTTTACTGAGATATGATTGATGTATAACCTTGTGTAATTTGGAGGGGTACAACATGTGTGTTTGATACATTTATATATTGCAGTATGATTACTACAATAGTGTTAGCTAACACCTTTATCATGTTACATAACTATCATTTCCTTTTTGTGTTGACAATTAAGTTTTAATCTCTTAGCAACTTTGTGCTTATAATACAGTATTGCTGACTATAATAACTAAGTTGTGCATTTTAAAAGGATGGTTTCTAAGCAGCTGATTACTTCAGCCAGAGATGAAGCTAATTAAGTAGGGAAGGGAATTGGACTAAAATTATTTGTACGTTTTGCCACTTGATCATTATTATTATTATGACTCTTGCACAGTAAAAAATCAGATGACATGTGTATTCCTATCTAATGTTAAGTCTTGTTGTCTTATATAGAAATCTTACAGCAGCTCCGAAAACAGAATGAGTATATCACTGAGGCTCTACAAGAACTAAATGTGGAACAAGGTAATTTGGAAGTGAGAAAATTCCGAGTACATAGTAATTTGTAATAACAGCCTCATTCTTTGAAGTGGGAGAACGTGTGAAGACATGAGGCCTTGTTTGTGAGGTTCTGTGGGCTCTGAGTTGTAAATATTTTCTTTCCTAGGAGACAGGTGTGGACCTTCTCTGAGTCACTGGGTACAATACAGAGACCACTGCTACCACCAAACTGTGCAAATTGTTTCTTGGTTAGAGTGTTCGGATCTTTGCATCTCTTTGAATGCTACATTTTTAAAGACAGAAAGGAGTAGATTGATGGTGAGATTGTAGTTCATTCTTTACTTCTGGGATAAGTGTATAGTAGCCACCAGGAGAAGAAAGGGCTCACCTGCAGCTCTGAAACCAGGGTAAGGGGCACTCTCCTGCTTTGTTTTCCACTCATCTTTCCCTGGCGTGCTCCACATCAACACACCTTTCTTTCCTAACACACCATGCATGCATTCACTGCAGAAACACTGTGTTTGCATGCAGAACTCTTCTCTCAGATGCAACCACGGCGAACTACTTCATGTCCTTCAACTATTTATTCAGTTGTCACCTTCTTAATGAGACCTGCCCCGGCAACCTTACTTAAAATTGCAACCTGTGTCGGGCTTCCCTGGTGGCGCAGTGGTTGAGAGTCCGCCTGCCGATGCAGGGGACACAGGTTCGTGCCCCGGTCCGGGAAGATCCCACATGCCGCGGAGCGGCTAGACCCGTGAGCCATGGCCGCTGAGCCTGCGCGTCTGGAGCCTGTGCTCCGCAACGGGAGACGCCTCAACAGTGAGAGGCCCGTGTACTAAAAAAAAAAAAAAAAAAAAAAAATTGCAACCTGTGTACCAGTGCCCACCCCACCGCCAGACCCTCCTCTGTGCTTTTAGGCATTCTTACCCTGCTTTAACTTTTTATAGCACTTGTCACCTTCTTATGTATCATATCATTTACACCTATGTTTTTTACTTCTATCTGGCCCACATCCCCCAGAAGCAGGGATCTTTCTCAGTTTTGTTCAATGATATATCTCAAGCTCTAAGAATAGGCACAACATTAAATAAATGATAAAATAAGAAAGTAATTCATATCTTGGTGTAGTGTCTTCTTAAATATAAAATTTTCTATTATAATCATCGCTTACTATTCGGTTCAGAAAAAAATAATATTTACCTAGTAAAAGTATGGTAAATTTTACCTAGTAAAAACTGTGAAATAACTATATCAAAAGGATACAGGAGGTGAGAAGATAGGGCATGAGACTAAAAATTCTGCCTTCATAAAATAGGAAGTCATAGAACTAATAAAGAGTTAGGAACAGTTAATTGCCTCTGGAGAATGGCATTCATTGAGGGAGGAAATGACTACTATTTTGTATATATCAATATTTAGCATCATTTGACTTCTAAAACCAAGTGCATGCATTTGTGTGATAGACTTAAAAAATATATGTAAGTGTAAAAAATCGGATGAAATTACAATACAGTTAATGCTGTGCCCTTTCTTTTTACAACTTAAATATTTCTAAAATACACTGGGGAAATAAAAACCTTTATCATTACTGGAACTAAGCTAAAAAAAATAAAATAAAATTTTCTATTAGCTCTGTCTTTTTTTTTTTTTCTTCTTGGTGTTTAATTCCTGGTTTAAGAAATGCACAGACACTGAAGAACTGAAATATTTTTTAATGTTTTATTTATCAGTGGGCATATATAGACTGCATTATTTTTATTTTTATGATTCTTTAGACACAAGTTCTATATTTTTATCTCTAACGCACTCTTAGTATTAACACCTTTGTGTATTTTGGTTCCATGTAGTACATCATGAAGTTACTTGCAGCAAATCACACTTGGCTTGGCCTGTCTTATAATGAAGAGGACAATCAATGGAAGTGGGAGGATGGCTCCCTTCCTTCTCCTGGCCTGTAAGTTTCTGGTATAAAATCCAATTCCTTACTCCTTTTTCAATGTCTTTGGCCTAAGGAGCTTGAGGAAATAGAGAAGATCCTTTGGCCTAAAGAGCTTGAGGAAATAGAGAAGATCATTTCTCTTCTCAAAGAGGGATTGAATTTAGACCTCTTTATTTCTTGTTTTTATTTCATACTATACTGTCAGCAATTTTGTAAATCATAAAGTCACTTAGATATTTCATAATTAGTGTAAATATACCCTTATTATTAGATGAGCTGAATGATTACAATTTCAGATAAGAAATATAATGTGGGGAAGAATATCATTAGTATGAATATGGGGACCTCTCTGGTATTTTTATTGGGAAGAAGTATAGATAAAATTGTCTTTCCTCAGCCAAATAATTTGGGATTTTTTTTTGGTTTTAAGTACATATTTTTCTATTGCTATTCAGAAACACTGCATTAGACAGCTATGGCAGAAAAAATGTTTTCAAGCTGTTTCATCACTGTGTGCCAATCTTAGATAATATTTTAAAGTTTGATAATTTTGATAGCTGATTATTTTTATTTTGTTCCTTTAGGTTATATTATTCTTATGTTTAGTGAGGCTGTTTTTCTTATAACTTCTAATAATACTTTTGACCATTTTATAATATTTACCTTTTATTTCTTGGTATGATTCCTTATATATTAAGTTTGTGACTTCTCTTGCACACATATCTTACCAGTGTTTTCCTTTAATAATTTGTCCTTTTAAGTTTATTTGCTTTTATTATATGAACAAATGGTTAACATTGAAGTATAATGAGATTGTCTTTGTTCATTTGAAATTTATTTTAAGACATAAGGTAGAAAGCTGAAACATGTATGTTCAAATGTAGATATAATTATATGTCTCTCTATGTATTTCAATTAAGTAATCAATTGTCAGTATTGTTTAAATGATTCATTTTACTTTCATCACTGATTTTAATGTCATTTATCATATGCTAAAATTTAATATTTAAATAATTTTAGCCTTTTTACATGTCCCTTAAGTATTTCATAGTTTGTGTAAATATTTTATGTGTAAATATTCTTGAATATTTTCCCAGCCTTGCCTGCACTATTGCATCAAATTGTTAGTCTATTCTAACTTTATTGTTGATCATTTTAATTACTGGAATTTTGTAAATTGAAAGTTTTCCTCTGCTTCAAACCTTGTACAATGTTTGGAACATAGAACATTCAGTAGGTATGTTGAATGAATGAATGAAATAACATATGAAATATTTTGGCGATTTAATATGCCCAACACAGTTCAGAATTTTTTTTCTAGTTCCTTTGGCATTTTTAAAAGAAATGTACTATGCATTTAATAAATCACGAAATAAGCTTTGCCTTTTTTTTTTTTTAGATAGTACTGAACAACCAGCTTTGCTCTAGAGTTGATGAAAAATAGTCTTGTTAACATGGATCTAAAATGCTCTTTATAATCTAGACCTTTAGTAAAGGACTAAATTCAATCAGCATATTTGATAACATCTACCCTCTGGCATTTATATCAGTGGTAAATTAAAGTAAAATGTGAATTAAAGTAAAATGAACATTATCAGAGCAGAGGCAAGTGTCCTGAAATATTACATATACAGTTAACCCATGAATAATGCAAGGGTGTTAGGGGCACTAACTCCTCCATGTAGTGGAAAATCTGCTTAGAACTTATAGTCTACCCTTCTATAGGCAGTTCCAAAACTACATGTTAAACCAACCACAGTTAAACCAACCTGTAGTACTGTAGTATTTACCATTGAAAAAATCCGCATATAGGTAGAACTGCGTAGTTCAAATCCAGGTTATTTAAGGATAAACACACACACACACTCACTCACACACACATATATACATATACATGTATATTCTAAATTTCATTACTAATTTTGGCTAGCTTTTATATCTAATGTATTTATAAGTAAATATCCCTCCTCCAATGGTAGCTGTACATGCATGTGGTTTCTATCATGCTAATCTGTACTTAAACTTAATTATGTACCCCAGATCATATGTCCTGTCTTTCCTGCTATTGCCATAATTTTCCAGCTGGACCATTCTCTTCTTCTCTATACAGGTGTACCTTTTCCCACTTATAAATACTCATAAATAACTATCACATTTTGTGAAGCTTATTTATGACTTATGTCTATCTCTTTTTGTATATATACATGTATGAGTTCTTTGCAAAGAGGGAGAGTGCCTTTACTCCCTTGAGTTCCCTACAGCGCCAGGTATAATCGGTTTCACATAACATGTTCTTAAGTAATGCTACTTAATTTGAACACAGTGAGTGGCCAGTGACTTGTGTTTTCTAAATTTCTCAGGAGTCTACCAAAGCCAAGTACGGATTTCCAGGGGAATTGTGTGTATGCAAATGTGAACACTGTTGGCATGGATACCTGCACTATGTCCTCTTCATGTGTGTGTGAGAAGCCTGTCTGTGCTAAACACTCAGAAGAAAGTTAAAAAAAAACTGATGAGGTCTGCACATCTCAATAACATTCCATATTCAAGACCTGCCTGCCTTTCTTCTATTGGCACTTCATGTTATTCATAACTCTTTTTTTTGTGACAGAAACTGATAAATGACTTCATGATAGAAGAAGCCAGAGTCTAGAGTTAAAGGAGAAAAAACAGAGAAGCACAGAAAACTTAGAAACTCAGAACCTGTTTGATTTTCTGAGAGTTATATAAATGAATTAAAAAACATATCATTTGTCATAAATACTTAGTCTTTGGGAGTCTTTTTTTTATATTTCAAAATCTACTTACTCATTTACAATTGTGACCTGTGGAAATAAGCGTTTAGAACAAATACAGTGGGAAATATAAATGATAAATGGTTTACCACATAATATACAAAGAATGTAAAAAATGCAAAGAAATATCAATAATAACAAAAAGCAGAAATTTAAAAAAATTAATTAAAACAAATTGACGTAGTCATCTATTTCTCAAGTTGCTTGCAGAAGTCTTCCTAGCAGATTTTCAATATATCAATTTCACTCACATCTTTAATTTCTTTTCTCCCTTTTCTTTCTGGTTGAAAGTGATGTGTTTTAAAAGTAATTTGTCTTAATTAACGTTCCATTATAGAACCAAAGAATTATACTTTACAAACTTGAAATTTCTGTATATAGGAATAACATTTATCAGAGATTAATATATTTAAAAAGCTACTTATTCTACTGAATATTTGTATTTAATTCTTTAATATTTAAATTAATATTTAATTTTTTAATTTTTAAAAAAAATTTTAATATTTTTTTAAATCTTTAATGTTTAATTCTTTTATATTTAATAATTGTTTAATATTTAGCTCTTTGTTTTGCTTTCTATTTTTAGAAAATAGATTTGTCAAAATTCCTTTAACCTAAAGTAAGTGAGGGTCATTTAAAAAAATTTTTATTAGCATATAGTTGATTTACAATGTTTGTTAGTTTCAGGTGTACAGTAAAGTGAATCAGTTATACATATACATATATCCACTCTTATTTTTTTTTTTTTGATTCTTTACCCATTACAGAGTACTGAGTAGTTTTCACTTTGCTATACAGCAGGTTCTTATTAGTTATCTATTTTATATATAGTAGTAGTGTGTATATGTCAATCCCAATCTCCCAATTTATTCCTCCTCCAACCCCCGCCTTGTCCCCTGGCAACCATAAGTTTGTTTTCTACATCCATGACTCTACTTCTGTTTTGTAAATAAGTTCATTTGTACCCTTTCTTTTTTAGATTCCGCATATAAGTGCTACCATATGATACTGTTTTTCTTCACTCAGTATGACAATTGCTAGGTCCATCCATGTTGCTGCAAATGGCATTATTTTGTTCTTTTTTATGGCTGAGTAATACTCCATTGTATATATGTACCACATATATACATATGTACCACATCTTCTTTATCCATTCATCTGTTGATGGACATTTAGGTTGCTTCCGTGTCCTGACTATTGTAAATAGTGCTAAAATGAACACTGGGGTGCATGTATCTTTTTGAATTATGGTTTTCTCCAGGTATATGCCCAGGAGTGGGATTGCTGGGTCATATGGTAGCCCTATTTTTAGTATTTTTAAGGAACCTCCATAATGTTCGCCATACTGGCTGTATCAATTTGTACGTTGTAGTGGCTGTACATTCCCACCAACAGTGTAGGAGGGTTCCTTTTTCTCCACACCCTCTCCAGCATTTATTGTTTGTAGGTTTTTTGATGATGGCCATTCTGACTGGTGTGAAGTGATAGGTCATTGTAGTTTTGATTTGCATTTCTCTAGTAATTAGTGATGTTGAGCATATTTTCATGTGCCTCTTGGCCATATGTATGTCTTCTTTGGAGAAATGTCTATTTAGGTGTTCTGCCCATTTTTTGATCGGGTTGTTTCTTTTTACATTGAGTTGCTGAGCTGTTTGCATATTTTGGAGATTAATCCCTTGCCAGTCACTTCGTTTGCAAATATTTTCTCCCATTCTGTGGGTTTTCTTTTCTTTTTGTTGATGGTTTCCTTTGCTGTGCAAAAGCTTTGAAGTTTAATTAGGTCCCATTTATTTATTTTTGTTTTTATTTTCATTACTCTAGGAGCGGGATCAAAAAAGATCTTGCTGCGATTTCTCAAAGAGTATTGTGCCTATGTTTTGTCTAAGAGTTTCATAGTGTCTGGCCTTATATTTAGGTCTTTAATCCATTTTGAGTTTGTTTTTTTGTATGGGGTTGGGGAGTGTTCTAATTTCATTCCTTTACATGTAGCTGTCCAGTTTTCCCAGCACCACTTATTGAAGAGAGGGTCTTTTCTCCATTGTATATTCTGACCTCCTTTGTCATAGATTAGATGACCGTAGGTGCCCGGCTTTATCTCTGGGCTTTCTGTCTTATTCCATTGATCTATATTTCTATTTTTGTGACAGTACCATACTGTCTTGACTGATGTACAAAATCAACTACAGATTCACTGAGAATGAAAGAGGAAATACAAGACTA